CTGAGGCCGGATTTGAACTCAAATCCTCCTGACTCCAGGATGGGTGTTCTATCCACGGAGCCACCCAGCTGCCCCTAACATTCTCTTACAGAATAGCAAATTCCCTAAGCATGATTTTCCATGTCCTTGCCTGAGGATCTCCACAGTAACTTGAGGGGCCTCAGTATCCACAAGCCTGGGTCCACAAACGATCTGTCCTATGTTACAGAAGATACATAAACTTCTTTCCCCTTTGCTCCTTCCTACCTATCCCCTGTTTCTTGGGAAATGACTAGCTTAAGTGGGCAGATTGCAGAATATTCAGAGAATTTGGACCCACCTTGGTTAAGTTCCCCCATGACTAACCCGGACATGGGATCATAGCCCTTCTGGATTCACCCATAATTGACTGCTGTCTAATCAGCTCCAGGGCTCCCAGCTTCGGGACAGCCAGGGACTTCTTTCCCAATCCTTTATAGCCTGGGGAATGACAAATCAGTAATTGACTCCAGGTTCTTGGGGTGACTTAATACTGCAGTGTATAAATCACAAAGTTCTCTTCCAAAGGGGCCTTCTAGGAGGCCTGGTGTCAGTATGAGCCAGTGGAGATTTGAAGGGAAGGGGAACCTTGACCCTGATCCCATCCTGGACCCCAACTTTAATCCTCATCACAGTTTAGAAGAGGCTCCTCATTTGGGGCAAAATCTTATCTAGAAAGAGTGGGAAACTGAGGAAAAGGAGCAGCAAGGACCTGGAAGATATAAATAGAAGAGGTAGCATGATTTAGTGGGTAGAGGGATGAACTTAGAGTCAGGAAGACCATCATTCAAATCTAACTGTGTGGCCATGGAGAAGTCTATAGCCTCAGTTTCCTCATCTGTAAAATGAGTATGATATTACCTGTAGCACCTGCCTCACAGGATTGCTAGAAGGCTCAAATGAGATCATTTTTGTAAAGCACTCTGACAATTTTAAAACAAAAGTCAGTTATGTACAAGATGGTGCTTAGAGTGTTAGGAAAGGTGCTTGTAGCTCACTAGGACGACTAGACTATGACTTTGTTTCCTGGAGGCTAAGGAAGCAGGATTGAGGTGCTCTGGGTGTCGTGGGAATGGCTTTAACAAATATCATAAGTTTGAAGTTAGAAGGGAAGAGGTCATTGATTCCAACACCCCCATTTTACAGATGAGGAAACTGAGGCCCAGGGACATCATAACATGCTTAAGATCAGAATGGAATAAATAACAAAACCAACATTTGTACTCAGAGACTATAGGTGCATTAAATCATAAACAGGGGCTGAAAGAGACTCAATAGATAGGGTCACCTAGTCCCAACCAACAGGAAACTCAGTGGCCCAGAAAGACCAAGTTAGGAAAGCCAGAAAGGGGATTTGCACTCCAGGCCTCTGCCTCCAGAGATAGAAGCTTAAAGCCACAAGAACCTTAATAAAACGGGCAGCTGAGTGGGGATGTTTTGTTTTGATCTGTACACCTAGAATAATATTGCATGAGAGCTGGAAGGGACCCTAAAGGTGATATCTAGTACAATCCCCCATTTTACAGATTTGGAAACTGATGCCCAGAGAGGTTAAGAGATTTAGCCCATTTCACACAGGTAGTTAGTGCCACTGTATTAAAATCCAGGTGATTCCTGATTTACCCTATGAGCTTGTCATGCATCTTTCCCACTACATTTGTAATTTTCCTTTCTTTTTTATTCCATAAAATATGCTGGGAAATTAGTATCAAATAATGAAACAGAATTTTGGAGCAGGAAGAACTCCAGAGATTTTAGAGTGGGCCAGGACCATGGAGGTCATGTAGTACAGCTCCTGCATTTTCCACACAAGGGACAAGTGATTTGCCCAATTTCTCACAGGTGGTAAATAACAGAGCCAAAATTTGAACCCCAGGCTTCTGATTTCAGCTCTGGGGCTCTTTCCACTGCCCTCCACTGCCTGTCCTCATATGTGATACTCTCTCCCATGGGTTGTTTCTGGAAGTGAGCTAACTGGTCTTTGGAGAGAAGGTATTTAATCAGTGGCCACAAAACTTCAGCCCCTCAGCCAATCTTCCTCTATCACATCATAAAGAATAATTCTCCAAATGGGGATTTGAAAATCCAAAACAGATCCTCTTCCCCCTTGGCCAGTGAGGCCAGCTCCATCACTGAGCAACAAAGCCAAGTGTTTCCAGCAAGGTCGATCGGTTGGATATCAGCTGGATCAGCCAGAAGGCTCTGGGTTTGTTGGTTTGTTTTTTAAGCTTCCACAGAAAAATTAAATATTAGGTTAATGTGATAGCTTCAGCAAGTTTGGACCTTTTTGCCTGGCTCCTATTGTAGCCCATGGGGAGGAAGGCTTCATACCCGACAGCCACAATCTGAATGAATGGGATACCCTGCAAGAGAGGACTATGTCTCTAGGCATGCCACTAATGATACCCCTCCTCCTGTGCTCTGCACAAGGCCTCCCCCACCCCAAGCCCTGTCTCTATAGAAATGGCTGCTGGTAGTTCAGAGGCCACTGTGTTTGTACAGCCAGTGGACTTGGAAGTGGTGAGCCTCCATTTCTTGGTGGGTTTGTTTTTATATTTTTATATGTGTGCATGTGTGTGTATATATATGTATGTATGTATGTATATGTGTATATATGTGTATGGTATATATGTATATTATATATGTGTGTGTTTATTGGTGCCTTTTGATTCTTACATCACAGTCATTTCTGGAAATATCCTCTGTTCCCCATTTCTCCTCTCTTTTCCCTCCCCCCATCCATCCCTCCTTCAAAACAAAGAAAAACAGATGACTACGTCTGAAAACGTATGCAACATTCTGCCCTAGAAGTCCCCCACCTGTCTGCTAGGAGAAGCCCTGAGCCTCCATTTCTTGCAAAGAAGTTGGGAAACCAAGACATCAGCACATACGAAGTCCAAAAGGCACCAGCCCAGAGACTGAATTTGCTTACAGCCTGGATCACTGGTGGTTTTCATTAGTGCAAAGTAACTGTGGGAAAAAGACAGCTTTTCCAGGGGCATTCATTACTCTCTTGGCCAGGACTAAATCATTGCTTTCTTCCCTAGAATCTGAGATCGTTATTATTCCAAGCCTAAATGCTGAAATCCCAAAACCACCAATACTCCAGTCAATAGGGTGTGTTAGGAAAGCTAGAGAGGAGGCGGGCTAGCTTCCTCCTGGGTTGAAAAAGTGAAATTAAGTCTGAGCCTCCTTGGGATTCTAGAAAAAGAAGGGACCTTGGTGATGATCTAATCCAACCCTCTCTTTTTACAAAGGAGGTAACTGAGGCCCAGAGGAGGATAAATGACCTGTCCAAGGTCACACAGAAGTAACTCCTATGAAAAGTAGGAGACCTAGGTCTCCAGATTCTATCCATCACAGTATATTCCAAGGCTTAGCACCATGCCTGGCACATAGTAAGTGCTTAATAAATGCTGATTGATTGGTTGACTGACTGATTGACTGACTTCCAGATATAGAGCCAGAAAGCCTGGGGTTTCATTTCCCTTCCTCTTCCCACAGGCAGAGGCTACAATCTAGTTCATCACTGACTACTGGCAAAGCCCCTGAGTTAGAGTCAGTGGCTTATTCACAGCTGAGTGATTCAGGCTTGCTGGCTTAGCAGGGCAGCTGTAGCTTAAGCCAGTGTTCCAATTGTAGTCAGCTCTGCTGAGCAGCTTCAGCATTACCCAGGGCAATTTAACGAAAAGCACAGAAATGCTGTCATTTTCCCCAAATGAAATTGGGAATTGGAAGGGGCAACAGGGAAGTATTTCCACTAAGGGCCAGAGCTGATGATAGAAAAGAGAGAGGCATGCTATAACCTCAAAGAGTGAGATTTAGGGATTCCTGCTAGGAATATCAAAGGGCTGTGACCTGTGTATAAGCCAGGCCCAAAGGTTTAAGGCTCTATAAGGAAACTACCCTGTAATTACGCTGAAAAACTGTTGTGTTCCTTCACTTGTACATTGTGTTTAAAATGACTGGAGGAAAAATGATTTTTTAAAAAATTTCACGTTTGAAACTTAAGGTTTTAAATAGATTTGAAACTGCTAAAAAAAATAGTCTTTGTTGAAATGGTACCTGGCACATAGCATTTAATAAATGCTTATTGATTGAAAGTAGGTAGAGATTGTGAAGTGTAAATTGTGTTAATAAGGAAGCCAAGTGGTTGAAAAAGAATTAGCTAAAGTTCAATAAAGCTGTCCAAAGACTCTGACTGGAAACAGGATAATCATAGGGAAAAGACATTTTAGGGACTTCCCTATTGTCCCCCTAAGTGGAGACTCCTTTACCTAGAGTTCAAAGCCCTCTGTGGTCTGCCACCACCCTTCCTTTCCATCATTTCCCTCCATGCACTGTGTACCCCAGCCCTGATCTGCTCTCTGTGCCCCAAATGGCCCATACTCTCTTCCCATCTTTTTGCCTTAATGCATGGCGTCGCCTATATCTAGAATGGCTTCCTTTTCCCTTCTTCATCTATCAAATAGCTATCCATCCTTTACAATACAATTCAAGTAACCTCTTCTCCACAGAGCCTCCCATTGGCAACAACTATCCTCCTGAGTGTTCCCCTCATACTCCATTATACCTTTCTCTAATGGTAATATTACCTCGTATGTTATAGTCATCTGTATTTGCATCATGTCATCCTAGACTGTAAGCTCCATGAGGGCAGGGGCCATATCTTAGCTAAGATTCATATCTTTCCCCAGTATGGGGCTCTGTACACAGTAAATGCTTAATAAATGAACGGGAGGGTAGAAGCATTGATCCAGAGCTGAAAGGGACCTCTCTGATTCACACACACACACACACACACACACACACACATACACACACACACCTCCAACATCTCTCTTATTGGGATTTGCTTGTTTAAAAGGAAAGCTTCAGGCTGCCTCCTTGGCCAAGGACGGGCCTTGGGAGGAAGCGGAAGCCTTTTCCCTGCCTCTGCTGCTGTCTGTCTGCTGACCTGTCCTCCATGCTTGTTCCCGCAGACCGCCCGGGATTGCTGAATGTGAAGCCCATTGAGGACATCCAGGATAACTTGCTGCAGGCCTTGGAGCTCCAGCTCAAGCTCAACCACCCTGAGTCTTCCCAGCTGTTCGCCAAGTTGCTTCAGAAAATGACAGACCTCAGACAGATTGTAACAGAGCACGTGCAGCTGTTGCAAGTCATCAAGAAAACAGAGACGGACATGTGCCTTCACCCACTCCTACAAGAAATCTACAAGGACTTGTATTAGCACAGGAGTCCTAGCCCACTGACAGCGTGTTCCTTCTTCCAATTGCACTATTTCTTTGAGGGAAAACATGACATGCCTAAGAAATTACTGTGAAAAAAAAAAGCATTTTAAAAAGGAAAGAGCTTTAGAATAATAAGATCTATTTTATGCATATTGTTTTTAAAAGACACATTTACAATTTACTTTTAATATTAAAAAGTGACTATATCACGAAATTGCTGGCAGTATTTGGAGAATGAGTCTGGTGTTCTGGGATTGTGTCTTGTTTTTGTTTTTATTTTAATCTCCCTTTTTTTTCCACAGTATTCTGATTGTTTTTTAACTGTGGATGGCACTGCCCATAAATCTTCATCTTAAAGTAAATTAATTTCTTTGCCTCCATCTACAGGAACCATTCTAAAACATCTGATATCACATGTTCCCAAAGACTCCTGGGGATTCCACTGTAGCCTTCTCAGAGTCTGTATTTCTCAATCTAGACTGGTTTAGAAATCCTGAGTAGGCTCTGTCCCAGGATGGCTGACTTTATTAAGAAGCCAGCCTTTTGCCGTGACCCTGTCCCTAGTTTCCAACACTACCAGATACACCCTGTATATGTAGCCTGTGCATATATTATAAATGTGCTGTGTGGTCCCAGATCTGGAGCTAAAAGGGACCTCAGAGGCCAACTAGTGCAACCCTCCTATTTTATGGATGAGGAAACCGAGGCAGATAAAAGTGACTTCAAGGTCACATACAGAGTAAACACCACAGACTAGATTTGAACCCAGCCCATGTGCCTCTGGCTCGACTGTACTGTATTGCCTCCCTCTCTGTCAAGTACTTATTGAACAACTGTTGTACACTCAACACTGTGGGAGAACCGAATGACCCAGACCCTGCCCTTAAAGTTAGAGTCCCCTTGAAAAGACAAAACTTGCATTTATACACATATTCAACAAGTCTCTACTAAACACCAGCTATTTGCCAGGTACTATGCTAGGTACTGAGAATACAAAGAGAAGAATGAAACTCCCTGTTCCAAAGACCTCACATTCCACAAGGGGAAACAAAATGGACCCAGATAAGTCATTACGAAATGTAAGCCATTTCCAGAGGAGATAAAACTGGGGAGGCTGGGAAAGGCCTTGGCTAGGAGATGGGTATTAAGCTTGCAAAAAAAGCTTGAGGTTCTAAGAGGCAGAGGTGAGGAAGGAATCCATTCTAGGCAAGAAGAACAGCCTTTTCAAAAGGGATAGGAGATAGAATGTTACATACAATAAGCCACTTTAGCTAGAATGTATCCTGCATACAAGGGAGTAAGGTAAAGACAGTCTGGAGCCAGATTTTAAACATAGCAATGAGTGCTTTGTCCTAGAGATGACAGAGTCACCAAAGCTTCTCTAGCAGGGAGATGACTTGTAGGCCTGTGCCTCAGGAATATTAATTTGATGGCTATATGGAAGACAGATTGGAGAGAGGAAAGACTGGAGGCAGAGAGACCAATCAGTAGGCTAATAAAAGAGTCTAAGTAAAGGAGAGTGAGGGCCTAGTTAGAGAGATGGTAGTGTAAATGAAGAGAAGGGAACAGACATGACATGGACCGTTGAGGAGGCCAAAGACTTAGAAACTGATTGAACGTAGCACAGCATAGAGAGAAGAATTGGGGAAATTCTGAGATTACAAATTGCAGTGACTGGAAAGATAGAGGTACCATCAATAGTCATACGCCAGTTAGGAAGAGGGGAGTGGGTGAGACGGTGAAAGATGATAGTAAGTTCTATATTGTAATGTGTAATTAAGGACCAAGCTAGTAGTACAGGCCATAAGTACAAGAGGAATCCAGAAGAGGGAGGGATCACTGAGAACTGGAGTCTCAAAAGGCTACTGAAGTAGATTAGAGTTAAGCTAGACCTAGGACAGAGGTTCTTAAGTTTTTTTTTTGTGGAGTGCAGGGGAGGCATGGACCCCTTTGGTAGTTCGGTGAAACCTATGCACCCCTTCTCAGAATGTTTTTAAATGCATAAAATAAAATATATATGATTGCAAAGGAAATAAATTATAATGAAATACATTTGTCAATATTTTTTAAAGCAAGCTCACAAATCCCAGGTTTAAGAACCTTTGGGGGAAGATGGCTTTGATTTGGGTAGAGAAATATGAGAGAGAGCATTGCAGAGTGAAAAAAAAAATAGAATAAACAAAGGTACAGAAGTAAGAATGAGCTTTGTGCGAGATAGTAAGAAAGCAACCTGACCTTCCAGGTTCTCCTAGCTGTAACCACTCCAGGGACCAAAACCCTTTGGTTCATGTTATGTCTTGACTGTATTTACCCTAAACTATCTTCTTCCTTCTGCCTTCACATATCTACTGTGTGCTTTCTCTCCTTGGAACTCATGGCTCTTATTGTCTCAATCATTCATTTAGTGGCCCCTTTCAGGGCAAACATTGCCTATCCAACTCCCGTGTCTTGGTGCCCTTTCCATGCTCATCACCAGTGTCATTTTCCTTGAGCATTTTGGACCTGTCCTCATTACCCCCTATCCTGTATTATTATATTTATCGTAAATGGGGATGGGCATGTTGGGGATACATGTTGTATGCCCCAATAGACTGGAAGCTCTTTGAGGGCAGGAACTGTCATTTTTTTTCACCTTTGTATCCCCTGCACTTAGCACAGTGTTATGCACATAGTAAGCACTTAATAAATGTTGAATTGAATCGAACTGAATTGGCACTAATCACACCTTGACTTAGATAATTATCTTTATACATGGCTCTTGTCCCCTCCACCCCACCTAAGCTGTAAGCTTTTTTGGAAAGGGACCATACCATCTTTCTTAGATCCTTCACAGCACCTAGCTCAGCATTGAGCACATGGGATGTGCCCAATAAATCAATGTTGATCGAATGATAGCCATCTTAGGTCTCATTGGATACCCATAACCTCACCATCCCTTGGCTTTGAAGAGATTTTTATCATAGCCTCACCATCTTGGAGGTCTTTCTTCCCAGGAATTGGGTGGAAGATGACCATTCAAGTCTTGTTCAGTGCTAAGATTCTATTATTCCAAGATTCATTCGTTCAGCTCAATGAACATTTATTAGCGCCTACTATGTGCCAGTTACGGTGCCAAGCACCCAAGAGGGCACAGGAATTAAAGAAAGGTGCCCTCTCTGATCTCCAGGAGCTGAAAGTCTCCTAGGGATGATAAATACACATACATGGCTAACTGTAATACAAATGAAACTATGCTTAAGTATATAAGGAACGGTTAGGTCAGAGGAGGGAAAGATCATTTCCTTTTGGGAGCAGGGAAGGGAAGTAGCATTCAGCATTGAAAGTTGTGTTCAGCATTGAAAGAGTACGTATGTTAACCCAATGAGACAATAGGTGAAAGGGCTTTGAAAACTATAAACCTATCATGAAACTGTAAGAGATTATAATTACTGCACCAAAATGATTTATCTATCATTTCTTCTAATGGTCATTTTCTGGGGAATCTCCTTTCCTTGACTATAGTTTTACTTGAGAGAAGTCCCAATGAACACTTATTGACACCCCCAAGGAGCAATGTCAGAAAAGGCTACCTCATCCTTTCTTAATCATAAACTAAACACATCGAACAGACAGACACCCTCATCTATCATTATATTAATAGAGGTGATATATCTTCTTATATCTAAAGATATAATCATATCTCTATTATATCTATAGACATAATAATACTGCTACCCTGTCCCAACTCTGGGTACAGTAAGGGCCATTAATTTAACTTCCCCAAGCAGCTCCACAGAAAACCTGAGCTTATCCTAGACATTTAAAAGCCTAGCAAACACTTCAGCTGCCACTAATGAGCTGTGTGTGAGCTGGAGTAAGTCACCTAATTCCTTTGAGCCTGTTTCCCAATCTGCAAAAGGTAGGGGTTGGCCTGGATGATCTCTAAGGACCTTCTTAGCTCTAGTAATTCTTTGATGCTAGGACATCCAGTATATCATAGTTCCACTCATTGCACTTTCTCCTGGGACTCTGTGGGACCAGATACAAAGGCTCTTTACATGACAATGAAACATCTGGAAGAAGTGACAAAGTAAATCAGTCAACTGGATCTTCTTGGTTTACATGATGCCAAACATCTGGATGTTTTGAAACATCCGGATGGCTGACTGGAGTTTTCACTGTCCATCTGAGAGCCTGGTTCCATAGGACCCAGCCAAGGAGAGAATGTAGAAGAACCAGACAGGAAGGTCGGGACTCTACCTCCAAGGAAATCACTTGCTTTTTACTGGATCTCTCAAACAAGAAGCCTTTCATTTCAATTCATTTCTCAGAGCTGGTTTCCCATCGACTCCTCTATTCAGCTGTGTCCAAGCCCTTTCCACATTATCAGAGCTATCCTTGCCAAAGTAAGAAAAGGGGAGAGAAACTCTTCCCCCACCCTAAGCTCTGTTCCTTGGCACCAAACACTAACATTCAATAGCTTTCAAACCCTGGCTACTTCTGAATTCCCATCTTTCCCTCTCTTTCCCTGTGGTTTGGATGATAATTTCCTAAATACTTTATGACACATTATGTCCCTTTTTCAGAGCTTTAGCTCCTCTCCCCCAGGATGATTCACATCTTAATCACTAACTGTATCATCAGTTATTGGTAGGATTTTCTTGAGGCACATAAACACACTAGGGGATTTGTCCTAATGAAAATAGGAAGAAAGTAACTTTAGTCAAAAGGCAGAAAGGGTTTCCAGTTTTCCACAAATGCCCTCTCCCCTTGTTCCATCCCTTGCAGCATGGTCTGTACCCTCTCCCACTTCTCTGGGTCTCACACAGCCCAGGAACCAGCTGTTATTCCCCTCCATGGACGGTAGCATTAGTATGCACATGTCTAACCCCGCTGGAAAGCTAAGCTGAGCTAAATTCATTATTACACACACACACACACACACACACACACACACACACACACACACACACACTTCAACTCTGACCTTGGCTGAGGATCTGCATGGCTGGGTTCTTTAGGAAAAACTGGAAAGGCTTAGGTAAACTCAACTACATAACCAAGCTAATCTCTACTTAAAGGAGAAAATGGAAGGAAGTTGCTCTATGACCAATATTCTATTGGTGGAACTATGAATGGGTCCAACAGTTCTCAAGAATATTTTGGAATCATGCTAGAAAAGTCAGTAAACTCTTCATCCCCAGAGTTCTCACACTTGATCATATGCCCCAAGGA